CACAGTCCTCCCCCTTGAATACTTTACTTATTTATTTTTCCATTCATCTATTTATTTAGTGTGTGTTTGCCTGAATGTATACACCTGAGTGTATGTGCATGCTATCACATACATGTGGAGGCCAGAGACCAACTTGTGGGAGTCAGTTCTGTTTTTCCACTATAGGGGCTCCCATGATCTAACTCAGATCATCAGGCTTACACACAAGTTCCCTTACCTGCTGAGCCATCTTGCCGACCTGTTCTTATCTTTTAGGTTTTCCTACCTTTCATCTAATCTCTGTGTCTATATCAGTGGATCCATCCATCCATCCTTCATCCCATCCATCCGTTTGTTTTCCATCCATCCATGCATCCATGCATCCATGCATCCATCCATCTTCCATCCTTTCTCTTACCATGTAATCTTGGCATTCTCCTCTTAACCAAGGAGAGCTACTCCATGAGGATTTAAAGTCAACCCTCTTTCTCTAACTCTTCTCACATAATTTATTCTCTGGGCATATATTGCAAAATTGTTGGAACTTTGCCCCACAACATCACAGTGCCTGAGCCTTTTATTTTCAAGTTTGAAGAATTTAATATTAAATCTTGACCCACCAAACAGAATTGCCACACAACGATTTCTATGGACCTACACATTTCCTCTGGAACAGAAATGGTTTTGTCTCCCAGAATCTAAATGATTATGAATAATGATACCCATGGACACAACCCAGCCACACTGCAGGGTTTCTGCCTCAGTGACCGTGCCTCTTTCTGGGCAGTGTGGGAAGAATCCCAGCACAAATCTTCCCCTGCAATGTCCGTCTGACACCCTCCCTGCCCGACAGATTTTGACCTTTCTTATCTTCTGGGAGGGGAAGATAACATTGACAAACCACTCGTTCTGTTTAGCTTCCCTCGCTCAGCCACCCCACCCTTCTTTGCTTCCTCCATCTCCCTGCTGCAGTTGTCAGGGTCATCCTCTCTTCCGTGTTCTCATCTACTGTTGACCATGGATGCTATCCAGATCTCCCAGGGAATCCAGCACATGCGGGGGTGGGGATGAAGTGGGGTGAGGGGGTGGAAGCAGAACCCAGCTCATCTTTCACACCCTGCTTGTTTCTCCTCCTGACTTTAGAGCTCCTGCTTTCCCTCTGGCTGTTGGGGATCTTGGTCCACAGCGTAATTACTCCATCACTCTCTCCCCCTCCCCAAGTTAGGGTCTTCTTCATGTTGGATTAGGTCTTCCATTAGCTTGTTAACTGTAGATTACTTCCTCACTCCCTATCCTTCCCAAGCTAGGGAGCTAATTTGTGCTCTTGTTTTTCCTTAAAAACAAAACAAAATGCAACAAAAAGCACACCTTCTTTTTTAAAATCTACTTTTAATTGTGCGTGCGTGCGTGTGTACGTGTGTGTGTGTGTGTGTGTGTGTGTGTGTGTACATGAATGCAGGTGTCCACAGAGGCCCGAGTTGTTAGAGCTCCAAAAGTTAGAGTTACAGGAAATTGTGAGCCACTCAGCACAGTGCTGAGAAACAAACTTGAGTCCTTTGGAGGAATAGTACATTTTTTAACCATTGAACCATCTCTCCAGTTCCTCTCTTCCCTTTCTTATGCAGTGTATATGATAGACAATGCAATGCATTTGCCCAGCACACAAATGCCCAGTTCTAGGTCTTTATAGTTTGGTAGCCTATTTACTGTTTTAAAGTATTTTAAAAGTGCTGGGCCAGGAAGCCTAGGGATGTCACTCAGTGGTAGGACATTTGCCTAGGAAGCATGAGGGCCTGATAAAAAAGGCTTGCAGTTCTAATGGTTATGACTTAAGACGATTGTCATCAACTTACTTTTTAAGAACTTTAGCTGGTTTTCTTCTTTTTATTGTCTTTCATACTCCTCAAAAGAATTGTTAAAGTTCAACATAGAATATTTTGCAATTACAATGCACGGCTCAGTAAAATACATTTTGGAAAATATTCGCTGAAAGCAAACACATTGTGTGACTATAGGATTTTTATGGGGGAGTTGAGGTTCCCTTTTGGGTTCTAAATCTCATTAATAAAAAAATGTAAAAACAGACTCAGAAGGCAGCTGGAGGACTATTTTATTAGCGCCTGAGAGGAAACAAAAGGAGAGAGAGCCAAGGCCCCTCCCCACCGACAGGGCAGGTACCCTAAAAATCCCCACGGCTGTCTGTCTGGAGAGGACACGACACACAGACAGAACCATGCTTTTCAAAATAGGCACGGATGTCACAGAAGCAACAAAATCCAAGGTGTCAGAGAAGCACACATGAGCTTTAGAGAGTGTCTGAAAAGAGACAAAGGGAAGGAAAGCAAAGAGGTGAACAAAAACATCATGCTCAGTGTGGTGGTGGATCTGGGTTTCCAGGGTTCAAATCCAGCCTTTGTGTCCCAGGACGACAGATCGCTGAGACATGCAGAGATAGAAACAGAGATAGTTTGCTAAGGCAGGGAAAACACTCAGGAGTGGGCTAGTGAGCTCAGGGCAAAACTTCCCAAAGCCTTGGCTCTCTAGGGCATGACCCTTCATAGGACATTCAGGGAACACAGGCCCCTCCCATTTGTAGGTCCAGTAATGGGGAAATATTAAGATACGCAAAATAGGGATATCTTATGATATTTTATTGAGAAGGAAATCACTTATGGGTACGTAGACCTCTCCCTGCAGTCCTGCCTTTTGTCACCCATTAAGCCCAGGTAAGGAACCTCTGTCTAGTCTGCCTCTGTCAGTGGTTTCTTTCATGTTCGTCTTGATGCTTCTGTCTCCAGTCCCCAATCTCCTGCCATAGTGCATGGTGGCTGGATCAAGAAAGTAACTTTTGTGGGTATTAACATATGGAGAAGAACATTGCATGTTTTTATCTACAGGGCAGCATCAAAAATATGGAGGCTTTCATTGTTTAGTCCCAGGAAGATGATATTGCTCCCTTTGTTATGAATTTAATAAACCATCCTTGGGTGGGCTACATAAAAGTCTCTCATGAAGCAAGGGGAAGCTGATGGAGTGGCTTATGTTCCCGGTTTAACACACCACCGACAAAGAGACTCTCAGGAATTCATGCTATCTGGTCCCAGGAGTCTGGGCACATGCCTAAGTGTGAAATCGGGAGGCTTGCCAGTCATTTCCTGCAAGTCGAGCTGTGCTCAGTCTCCCGTGTTGACAACAGAGCCAGAACCAGTGGACAGTTTTACTAATTTATTGTAAGTCTAGCTGCTTTTGCCTCTGGGCATTCCTGTGTTCAGCTGGGGCTTTTGTGGAAGCAGCCAAAGTTGCTTTCATCTCCTCTCTCCTCTACACTTGCAGCTTCGGGTAGTCACTGATCTTGTGATCTTGGCGGGTCTGCTCCTGCTCCTTGCTTTTCTCTCTGAACCACGTGTGGCTTTTGACAAAGTCAGGTCACAGCTCCAACAAAACTGGTCCAGCATCATCAAAGCCTGGGTCACTGAGAAAACGACCCTTGTTTGTTGCTGGAGGTCATATGGCTTAGGAAGGGAATGGGATGTGGAAGGCAGCTTGGCGGAGATACAGAACGTGTGTGTGTGTGTGTGTGTGTGTGTGTGTGTGTGTGTGTGTGTGTGTATGTGTGGTCAAAATGTAGCAGATTGTGAGCAGCATTTTCCAAGTCCAAGAAAAATATATTTCCTTCTAAGGACAAGGAACTCTCACCTGAATTTAGAGAAAGAACTCGCCCTTCTGGTTTAGATCATGTGCCATTGGGAATATGGCGAGTTTCCGGTGTTTTCTTGGCTTGCAGTGGGTGTTTGGGACACAACTGTATCTTGCATGCTCCAGAAGGGGAACCTGAATGTTAGAATCCTCCCAGCTGGGGTGGGGCATTGCTGTATACCCGAGGTTCTCTATCTCAGACAACATTCGACTGGATTCTATTTTTAGCTTACAGTCTCCTTCTGGGCAAGCCTGATGAATGTCTAGATTTAAAGGTAAAGTGAGAGGAGTAAAACACTTCCCCAGCCCAACATCAAGTTTCACTCCCTCACTCCCTCACTCATTCACTCATTCACTCCCTCCCTCACTCTTTCCCTCCCTCCCTCCCTCCCTCCCTCCCTCCCTCCCTCCCTCCCTCCCTCACCCACTCACTGACTCACTGACTCACTGACTCACTGACTCACTGACTCACTCACTCACTCACTCACTGACTGACTCACTCACTCACTCACTCACTCACTCACTGACTGACTCACTGTATCTAAGGAGCCAGAGTCAGGCTTCAGAACTTTGCATTGAGATAGGCAACAAATTATAACCCTAAGTGGGGAGGAATCAGTGACAAAGAGATTCCAAGAAGGCCAGACACCATGAAGAGATAAATTTCTCAAAGTAACAAAGGGATCAGTAAATATGAGATCCATAAGCCAGTGGAGAAAAGCAATTTTGTTTAAAAATCTACCCAAAGATTTGAAGTGAAGAAAAAAATCTGCTTTTTAAGATGTGCTTTTGTTCCTCAGCAGCTGTATGGTGTCTCCTTGACTCCAGCTACTACCTTTCTCTATCTGTTTGGATTTCCCACCTGGCTAAACCCTGCCTGCTCATTGGCTGAAACAGCTTTATTCATCAATTAGAAAAACATATATTCACAACATACAGAAGGACATCCTCCATCATTCAGAATAGGACAGCTATTGGAGTAATCTCTGTTATATGCCATTACCCTTTCTGATGGTTTAGTATGTGTTTTTTACTTAATGTTGCTCTTGCTGGTCATAGGTCTAAATTTGTGCATGTTTTTACATTTCTTTCTCTTGGACTATACTTGATATTTTTATCATTGTACATAATTTTTGCATCAGGTTGAAACCCTCTTACTTAGGCAAAAACAAAAGAGGAAATGTAGTGGCATCTTGTTCCACCAGTGGGCTTGGGGTGGTGGCCACAAGTTAGGGTGTGGCTTCCGCGTATGTGGACATGACCCCTTATAAGGAAGAGGGGGGGCTGGCTCGTGCTCTCTTGGGTTGTCATCGGAGCATCCTGAAGGGCAGAGGCTGCATCTCCAGGAGCAGGAAGACTGCAGTGGCTATTTGCCATCATTGTGTGAGTGCTCCCCAAATAAATACCTGTTAATTCTTTAAAAAAAAAAAGATGTGCTTTTGTTCTGGGTCAAGATTTAATTTTCAGTCAGCTCATGATCATTAGCTAGATGACTTTCTTGATGAGATGGGGATTAGAACTGAATGTTCATTTAAGGTCATATGAGGGTCTAGAAACTCACAAGCAAGAAGATGGCTTTTCCAAGGTTGCCTTTGAAAGCTCAAGCCTCATGCAATATTCTGCTATTGGATTTTCTAGGTAATTTTTTGTTTTGTTTTAAACAGGATCTTGCTATGTAGCCAAGACTGGCTTCTGATGAAATTCCTCTGCCCCAGCAGTTCCCAAAGTCATGTGTATGCCACTCTCAATGGTGTGTTCATGGCTAGTGCTCTCCTTTGTCTCTATGTTGTGGATATCTAAGCTATCATTTACTTACTTTCTCCCAAGACATTGAGATTTTTTTGATACTAGATTCTGTGTGTGTGTGTGTGTGTGTGTGTGTGTGTGTGTGTGTGTGTGTGTGTAGTTGATGTGCCTTTTCTCAAATATGTGGATGTTTGTCTTCAGTTTAGGACCAACATGGTATTTTTCTCTAGTTGCCCTGTCCCATCTAAGGGCTAACACAGAATGTCAGGCCCATGCTGGGTTTGGCTAGGCCCAGGTCCAAGTTTGTTCTTTCTTCACTGTATGATGCTGATAAGGCACTTAATCTCTCTGAGTTTCTCAGCATCTCATCTGTAAAAAGGGTGGCCATTTAAAAACACTAAACAGAACTAATAAAATAGAAATGGATATTAGGAGGATAATTTCATAATTACCATAATCCAGGAATTAAACAACAACTTGAAATTATTAAAGTAGATGTTTATATCTCCTGATCTGTATCTACCTCAATTTTTTCCTTGGTGTCCATGGGGAGACTGGTCTCAGAAACTTCAGGGACCAACAGACATTCAGATCCCTTATGAAAAGATAGTGATTGACTATAACCTGCACACATTTTTCCATATTCTTAAATCAAGTGTATATTATTTTAGGACATCTTAGAGAGCACAAGTGCTATTTAAATGATTTCTGTGTGTGGTGATTTGAAAGAAAATAGCCCCTAAAGGGAGTGGAACTATTAGGAGGTGTGGCTTTGTTGGAGTCGGTGTGGTCTTGTTGGAGGAAGTGTGTCATTGTGAGGGTGGTCTTTGAGGTCTCTTATGTTCAAGCTACGCTCAGTATGGAACGCTGTTGCTTCTGTTGCCTGTGGATCTCAGCTCCTTCTCCAGCACCCTGTCTGCCTGCAAGCCCCATGCCACCTGATGACAATAATGGACTAACCCTCTGAACTGTAAGCCAGCCCCAGTGAAATGTTTCCTTTATTAGAATTGGTGTGGTCATGGTGTCTCTTCACAGCAATAAAACCCCTAACTAAGACACTGTGCTTTACTGTTTCGCGGATGATAAGAGAAGGACCTTGATGTGTTCATGTAGATACATGCTTTTCAAATGTTTTTGACCCGAGGTAGCTTGAGTCCACAGCTGCAGAGCCTCACATATGGAGGGCTGTCACTGTCTATAGAGTTTAACCTATTCAGAAGAAAAGAATGCTATACTCGCTTAAATAATCCTGTATCAATTCCATTTATTTTTATGTGTTTACAGTGAGTGTATGGCAGGTATTAATAGTGGCCACCAGGGATGTATCAGTGAAAAACACTCATGGTTGTATTTTTTTCATAAACTCATCGTTTAGTGAGAAGGCCAGATCCTGAACAAAGTACCAAATCATGGATGAGAAGAGCACAGTGTTTGGAACTAACAAAGGGAGGAGATGAATTCTCTTCGGCTCAGATTGTAGGAATAGCCATCACCTGGTCTTTTGCATCTCATTTTGTCCCTTCGGTTACTGTTGTTCCTTGGGGACCACATTGATGACAGTGTGGTCCTTCTCATAAGAAAGCAGCTAACTAACAATCAGGGTAGAGCCTTCATCCAATAACTGATGGAACGAAATGCAGAGATCACAACCAAGTACCAGGCCAAGCTTCAGGAATCCAGTCGAAAAGAGGGAGGAGGGAATATATGAGCAAGGGAGGTCAAGATTATGATGGAGAAATCTACAGAGACAGCTGAGCCAAGCTCCTGGAAACTTATGAGCTCTAGAGCTTTGGAGACTTCCCGGGACCCAGTTAGCCCCTCTGTATGTGGGAGACAGTTGTGAAGCTTGAACTATCCAAGGGGACCCCTGGCGGTAGGACCATGATACAAACCTGATACATGAGCTAGCTTGTTGGAGCGCAATCGCTATGGTGGGATGCCATGCTCAGCCTTAATGCATGGGAGAGCGGCTTGGCCCTATCCCAACCAATTGTGCCAGACTATGTCAACTCCTCATGGGAGCCCTTACCAGTGAGGAGGAGTGGAGGGGGGAGGCTGCAGGGGAGTCAAGGGGGAGCAGAAGGAGAGGTAAGAGGGAGAACTGTGGTTAGAATGTGAAATGAAATTTAAAAGAATAAATAAATTATAAAAAAAGAAAGAAAGCAGCTAACAGTACTTCCCTCCTTCAAGGCTTTCCATGATTCCTTAATGCTCACCCAAGGCTGTCACTGAATGTGAAACACCACAGAAGTTTCTCTTGCCTTTCTCAGCCAAGCCATCTTTTCTTATTTTTCTCTCTGCTGGACCCCACTTGCAGGAAATGCCTTTCCTCCCTTGGGGTCTGCAGGAGTGACCCCAAACGTGTTATTGTAGGTTCCACATTTTCTTGAAACCCCTTGAAGATCTATGTAAATGTTGAAATCTGCTCCATAATAGCACAGTTTATTTGACTAGGAGAGATAATAGCATAAGTTGTCAGCTTTGTTGATGAGTTTGTGAGGCTGGAAACACCTGTCAGGGAATGGTCCTCCAGAGGCTCCCAGCTAGGAGAAGGGGAGACTTGATCAGTGAAGTTCAGATTAAGTACAAGATGTGAAGGATGACATGAGCTGTTGCTGCTGGTGTTTCCCGACACCAACCTGTCACTATGTCTCTTACCCATTTTCCAAACACGCTTCAGCCCACCTGATGATAAACCAGCCTGCCTCCATCTTGGGCTTGAAAGTCATCTTATAGTAAAGACAAACTAGGTTCATTCCTGCTTGTGATTAAATCTGTTTCTCAAGGGTTGGGCTATGCCATACCTTTAACATTGACTACAAATAGTTCTGTACTGCCTGTTCCAGGACAACAACAACTTGTTTCAAGATGTTGCGTGACAACCTTGTGATGACTACCTGGTGATGACCGCCTTGTGATGACTACCTGGTGATGACCACCTTGTGATGACCACCTTAAGATCAGGTTGTAGGCAAGCCTGTATTATCGTAACTAGTGATTGATGGGTGAAGGGCCCAGTCCATGGTGGGTTGTGCCAACCCTGGGCTGGTGGTCCTGGATGCTATTAGAAAGCAGGAGAAACAAGCCAGTAAACAGCACTCTCCATGACCTCTGCATCAGCTGCCTCTGTTTGAGTTCCTGCCCTGACTTCCTTTGGTGATGAACAATGATGTGGAAACAAAAGCCGAGTCCCCACCCCCACAGTTGCTTTGGTCTTGGTATTCTATCAAGCAATAGAAACCCTAAGACAGCTAGCTATGTCGATTCACTGGCAGGAAAGTAGTCATCCATCTCATTATTGGGGGAAGGCATTTAAGATAGTCTCTCCACTATTGCTTAGATTGCCAGTTGGTGCTATCCTTGTAGATCTCTGATCTGTTCTTTTTGATGTTACTTTTTTTTCAGGTATTTGATTACAATGAGGAAAGCTATGGATATACCCACTGTCCTGGAATAATGGTGGGAGTTGGGTTGGTCTTCCTGCAATCCTGTTATATGACTACATTAGGAGTTGACAGTGTTTGGAGGATGTTGTTTTCCTGGTCCAGCATCTACTTCTTGAGCAAAGGAAGAACACATCACCTACCTGGTCACTCCTCCTTCCCTTTTTCTTTCTTTCTTTCTTTTTTTTTTTTTTTTTTTTTTGAGTTTACAGTTGTGGTTACTGAAGTCAACAGAGAAAAGCAATGAATGATGGAGACCATGGTATCGACTCTGGGATAAACAAGATTTTGATTTTTAGGAAGACTAACTCTGGAGTGCCCAGCATGAAGCCCTAACCTTAGCCAAGGACACATTGGCAGTTGTTAGCTGGCTAGAGAGGGAGAGGAGCCAGGTGGGGTTTTTTTTTTTGTTGTTTATTTGTTTAAGGGTATTGTGTCTGGAAGGTTGATCACGCTCCAGTGGCAGGCTGATATACATTAACAATACATGGGCAGCATAAATTGAACTTGACAGGTATATTTAAAAACAAAACAAACCCACAAAAGGATTCAAAGGCAGGGAGGGAGGAGAGTCAATCTGTAATCTGCTTGGAGATGGGAAAGGGGTGAATATGATTAAAACACATTTAAAAATCTCTAAGAACTGTTTTTAAAAACCAAATAAAACAATGAACTGTGCTTTGCGAGAACATAAATTAATCAAGTTTTTTGGAAGGTGTTTAGATACTATGTATTAAGCACTTTGAAACTGTGTATTTCTTTTCAGTGCTCAGGACTGAATTTAGGGCCTTCAAGATCCTACACAATTGCTGGGGTACTCAGCTACATCCCCATCCATTAGAACAGTGGTTCTCAACCTTCCTAATGCTGCAACCCTTTAATACAGTTCCTCCTGTTGTGACAACCCCTAACCATAAAATTATTTCATTGCCATTTCATAACTGTAATTTTGCTACTGATATGGATAATAATGTAAATATCTCGTATGCAGGATGGTCTTAGGGAACCCCTGTGAAAGCGTGGTTCAACCCCCTCAAAGGATCATGACCCACAGATTGAGAACTTTTGTATTAGAACATTAATATATTTTAATATAGAATAATTGTTACAAGTAAAACATAAGAAAGTGGAGATTTACATAGAGGATTATCTATGCAATACTATTTGTGTGAACAACTAATAACAGCTGGGAATCTGGTTAAATAAGTATCATATACATCTTATAATCTATAATACAAAGGACTAGATAAATGGCAAGAACCTCGGAGCAACGTGAAGGACCATGGCATCCCAGACACTCCTAGAACTGAGAAGGGCCACCGTGCATCAGTGCGCCACAGCTTCGAAATGCAGGAATTTCCTCCATCTGCAATCAGAAGCCCCTGCCCTCATCAGCGCTGATCTCCTGAGCAGAAGCAGTAATCCTACTGAGTAGTTAGACTCTGATTGTAGCCTCCTACCCGGGAGAGGGAAGAGGGAAGGCGCCTCTGTGCTTAAGAGCTTCTGGAAAGCAAGGAACGCATTAGGATTAAAGAAGGCATCGGGTTTTAGCATGAATGTGATTGGGTTTTTTCTGTTTCTGTTGGGAGGTTACTGGGCTTCTCTGGCAGGAGGACAATAATGGCATTTGCTTAATTCATAAAACATCTGGGGGGGAACAAATGAGACTACGCATGCAGATCGTGTCTTAAATGGCATCTCATTGTGTCCCGAACAACCATTAGCTATAATTCTAATGGGCTTATTATAATTTTCCTTTTCGTGACACATGATTGGGCCCATGAGAGCCTTGTATTAACAAAGCGACAAATCACGACTCAGAGGCTCAGGCTCCGTGGTGTTAGACAAAGGGCCGAGTTCATGCTGCTGCTGGCGAGCTGCATGCCACAACGCCACATTGCCCAGTGTTTTGCTCACACAAGGCAAAGAAAACTGTTTTTATTTTGGGGTACAGACCTGAAAAGGTTGTTGGTTGTGAACTATCAGAAAAGGTGTTTGGGTTTATCAGAATGTTTGAGCAGGGAGGAAATTGCCTCTGCCTTTAGCAACAGAAGACAAAGAGCTATCCGCATCAGTGGGCACCGAGGACTGTATCGTTTTGAAAATGTATTTCCTTTCCCTTCCTTTTCATAAGTCTACCACAGCATGAGGCAGAAAAGTAATTTGTTTGCATGTGAAGGAGAATGTTCCCCTGAAGAATATTTAGGTCTCAGCTCACATGAAACTTTTTGAAGTATGTGTTTTATTATTTAAACAGGACGGTGAATGCAGATTCTTTGTTTGGGGTGCAGAGGATAATACTGAAGAGCTCTAAAGTCAACTGAGATGGTAACCCAAAATTCCTTTAAATTTCCTTCAGGAAATAGAAGTAAGTGTCTCCATCCCAGAAACATTCATGTGTTGGATATTGGAGAAATACAACCCGTTGGTGACAAGCCATTCACCATGAGGTGCAGGGGTTCCCTGGTTTATGGTTTAAGCTGATGTCCACGGTATGTTTGGAATCCAGGTGGATTGCTGGTAGAATATTAAAAAATAAATAAAAGGAAATGTCTTCATAGTTAGCATTTCCACACATAGACTGAGAATAGTCTACCAAGTGTGAGAAGGCAGGGGTGATCATCTATTCCCAGACACCATGCTAGAGGGTATCATTGCCCAGAGAAAAATATCATGACCACATACATAGGTATCTGGCAATGCCCAGAAGAAAAAACACCTAAAATATCTATCCCAAGGCATAGGATGATTCTTTAAGTTAAACATTATCTGTGTGATGAAATGAATGGATTCTGAAGCTTTTGTGGAAGACCTAAGTTGGGAAGCCTGCTGCTGGAGGGGCGTTTCACCACAATAACCTGTGTGGTTCTATAAAGCCCGCCTTACAGATGCTATTGGCTGCCACTGAGATAGAGAGAATGAGCTTCCCTTTCCATGACCAGCTTCGCTGTCATTTTAGCAACTGGATGCAGGATGAATGCAGGGACTGGTTGCCACAGCAACAGCATCTTCAGGAAAGGTGATGAGAGAAATCATTTCTCTCTGAATGCTAATAGCTTGTCACATTCATCTTAAACCAGCTGTTTCCCACTGTTTTCCTGATTGCCAGGAAGCCAAAGAGATTATTTACAGATTAAGGGCTGCTGTTTAGTTTGATCATCTTGGCCATACTTTATGCTGGATCATCTAGGATAAGGCAAAAATAATAATTTAAAGAAAAATACTAAGGGTTAAAGTTTTATTTGAGATTTGTGACTTTTACTCCAAGGAAGTAAGGGCTTTCCATAGTACTTAGAAACCATTTTTTAAGCAGGAACTATGTAGTGTTAAGGCCAATTAGACTCTGCCTATAAATTACATGCCCTGTGGAGGTTGAGCCCTGTTGCCTGTACACAAATGTGACCTGGGATTCTCCCAGTAACGGCTGAGGGTAGAGTGAACTTGTGAAGGGGAACATCCCAAGACAAAACCTGCACATGAGACTATTTTTGAATTCCAGAAGACACACAGAACAGAAAATTTTAATCTGTCCCATCATTAGCTCCAAGCAGAAGATTAAGGGCCCCCATTCAACAATGGGAATAAAGATGTATGCAAGTTTCCCCCACATTAGAATTGCTGTTGAGCAGTTGTGATGTGTATTAGGGTTAGTAAATTGCTACATGGGTTACCCTTCCATTCCTTAGGAGCAGAAATCATTGGAAAAATGGAACCATACACAGTATTTAATTTCCTGGTTTACTCTTGACAGAGCCTTAGCCTGTCACATGCTATTATGAGCTGGACTAAGTTAGTTTTTATACACCTCAGTTTCCCAATTGTGTGTGTGTGTGTGTGTGTGTGTGTGTGTGTGTGAGAGAGAGAGAGAGAGAGAGAGAGAGAGAGAGAGAGAGAGAGACTTGGTGAGATTAAATTAGGCCTCTCATGAGCAGCATTCAGCATGACCCAGGCATGAGATGAAAAGTTATCCAAGCTGTTGTCATTACTATTTCCTTGTTATGAAGTCTTGGGTGGCCTCAGACATGGAATAAACATGCTGCCTAACGTGAAGAACTAGAGGAAGTGCTTGTTACATGTGTTCCTGAATCCTGAGGTCCATCAACTACAGCAATGTCCACCCACCCATTGCCCTGAGCTGTGAGTGGTTTGATCACCATAGCATGACATAGATTCATGTAAGTATGTTTTTAAAGAAAACTTTGCCTGCAGATGCTTAACATACACTAAAAGCAATATTGAGAAAAAAATCAATGGTGCAGAAACATTTCCCTAAGTGAAAAAGTAAATTGTGAGATAAAATGGTGTGTGCATTTTAAGGTGTAGCAGGAGAAAGAGATACACGGGTAACCATGTACATGCAAGCACATGAGTGCATATATTCTCACTAAAAGAATATTGCAATAGGTATGCCCGGGTCTTGAGATTAAAGAGTTATTTTTTTAAATTCTCACCTTTAGTTAATGTATTTTCTGCGGTTAATATGGACAGAATGTGTAGTTTTAGAAACAGTGACTCTAAAAACAGAACTGGAATCGTCCTTGAGTGTGACTTTCCTGGAAGCTGCTTGTCTTTGCTGCTATCGAATCATGCCAGGCTGAAGAGCAGAAACAGCCCCCGGAGGACATCATGCAACAGTCTGGCACCTCATTAGAGTGCCTCTGTGTCTGCTGGGATCACTGAAACCAGCTGCATCTGCTTTTGGTCTCAGGGTCCAAGAAGACCAAATCACGGGTGTCACCTTGTCATCCTGGAGTCCTTCTTCAAAGCATTCTCTGTGCACGAGGTCCCCAATGACTACCTTTGTGCTGTTGTGTATACTGTGGCCGTCGGTAGAGTCCTAACTCTTTCTGGCTGCTCCCTGTGGCCTGTGACAGACCAGCTCTCAGCTTAGGAACACTTTGGCTCTGGATTGGCAGCCAGGAAGAGTAGAGCTGTGAAGGAAGCTGCAAGGGGGTCTCCTCCACTGTTCCCCTGGGGTCCAGATGACCTCTCTTATGGGGAAACAATGCCATTAGATTCAGAGGCACACTTGGATATAACAGGAGGCTACCTTTCCAAAGTGGCACTTTGGGCTCCCTGTGCTGAAATCCAATTACTTCCCACTGCTGACCTATATCTCACTCAACACGAAATGCTGTGAAGCTGCAGCCTGGGGCGGGGAGCAAATGTGTGTGTTGCCTTTGAGAAGGTGAACAAACCTGGAGTTAGAGCCTCCTACGTCTGCTAATGAGACTGAGCTACTTACTGGTGGCATTGTGTTAGACAAAATAACAGACTCTGCCTCCAGTCTACAAGTGTTTCTCCATGATTGCCAGTTACGGCTGATTAAAATAGTAACTCTTTCTCATCCTGAGGAAACTACCTCAGAAGGGGAATTTAGTGAGTAGACCCAATGCACTACCATCAGTGAACCGTTTTAAGTTATGAAAGAAGTTCATGTAGAAAATACCTTGACAGTAGGCATTTTGGTGAGCTATGCATGCAAACAGTCCATTTTGTTTCTATCAGGAAGTGTTTCCTATGGTCTTCATCATGCTCTACATGTTATATGCAGTAACAAATGAAGTAAAAAGTAGCTTTGGCTCAAGAGACTGGGGATACTGGGGGACTGCCCCATGCTCGTCGCTGAGGGCACCTTCATGTGATGAAATGTGAACTGTCTGTGGCTAGGTTAGTAGCATTTCCAGGATCCTACTGGGTGAACAGGCAGGCCTTAAGAAAGTACTCTGGTTAGGGTGTGTTTCTGGAGGTCTTGGAGGTGAGAAGGCGGGGACTCAGTAAAGACCTTGCTGGAGAGACAGGAAGGGAGGGATGAAGGGGGGATGACAGGGGTTTATAGGGTGTACTGAGCATGCCCTGGCAGCAGACGCAGACTGGCTGTGGAACTGGATCATTGAGAGGCTGATGACTGAGTGTGAGGTGGTCATCTCAGAGCAGAGTAACTGCAGGAAGAGCTGCTGTGCTCAGAAGCAAAGGGGATGGTTTTGCATTGGTTTGCAAAATTGTGATGGTAGCAGTTAGAGATCTGAACCTGATTTACTCAGGGTTCTCTAGAACAGTGACTCTCAATCTTCCTAATGCTGCAACTCTTTAATATGGTTCCTTCATGTTGCAGTGACCCCAACCATTAAATTATTTTCGTTGCTACCTCATAACTGTAATTTTTCTACTGCTATGAATCATAATATAAATATCTGTGTTTTCTGATGGTCTTTGTGACCCCTGTGAAAGGGTTGTTGGACCCCAAAAGGGTTCATGACCTACAGCTTGAGAACTATTGCTCTAGGGGAACAGAACTGATAGTACAAATGAATACCTAGTACAAAGGAGATCTATCAGATTGACTGATAGGATATGCAGTTTAACAGTGGCTGCCTACACACTGGGGAGGCTGAGAACCAAGCAGCTAGTCTGTCCACACTGATGGATCCCAACTGGTACTGAAATCTGGAAGATTTCTGGAGAACCACTGGCGTTCAGTTTATGATGGAAGGTTAAAGAAACTGGGTTCTGATTTCCAGGAAGAATGGCAGCAGCAGAAACAGAGTAGATGCTCT